CAAAATGAAGCATGTGAAGATCTAGTTAGACAATCCCAACCAGCAGTACCTCCAGACTGATGTTACAGACCCTGCAGTGGAACACTGTGGGTATACTTCTGTGCCTAACACCGAATATCCTTCCAAACAATCACATTCACATGCAGGTAAACAGTGTGTTCTTTGCAGAAAAGGCCATGTGATCAACTCATTATCAACAATTTAACATCTGTACCAGTTAATGGAAAATAAACTACATTTTGTGAGTATCTGGACTAGGGCCACAGTCTGATGAGATGTAAATGGCTCCACAGTACCTGTACACTTTCAAGCAGTTCATTCAAAACACCTGCCTTTAAGCATTTTTTAAAATATAGTACTTACTGTGAGATTTACTCCTTGGATCTTTTAAGTATTTTAGAAATAGGTAAGTCATATTTGGTAAACAAATTGAATTCCAGAACCAGGGACTTGGGACTAAATATTGTGAATCCTGGGTCAAGCACGTATTTGTTCATGACACAGGAAATAAGGCTCTAACAGAACACATGACCTTTGTTTGGCATCTTCAGAGACAGCATCAAGAAAAACTATTTACTGTGTTAAAATTCCTCCATGAAAATGAATTATGGTTATGATGTGCCAAGACTTCTGTAATATATTTACACTAATGAAATCAAAAATCTAAAACCAGAACAACTGGACAGATGTCTTTAGTGGTACAGACTGGCTCAGACATGACAACTTAGAACAGACAAGTATTTCCCCCCTCAAAAATAGACCAAGAGCCCCATGTATCCAACAAGTTGCATATTTCCTTTGTTACTCTCTGGTAAAACAAACCCTCACAGCTGCTATGGTAATAAGTTTTTTTAAAAAAGAAACTATTAAGATATTTCTGTAGACTTTTCTACCTAGAAGATGGAAAATCACTTGAGGAAACTTGGAACCAAGACACAGTACATGGCATCTCCTTTCACAACAATCTCAAAACAGCATAACAGAACCAGATTTTCTCTCTCTTCCTGTACAATAGGAAAGATTGCTACTGACTGCTAGAAGCATCTTTAAATATATTTACATATTACACATGGATAATTTACTGACTATAATGCCCACTTTAAGATCCCTAAATGATTAAAAAACCCCACCAAAACCAAACAAAGAGAACCCCCAAATTACTACAGAGCAGATAAAAATGGAAGAGCTCAAGGCCATTTTACATACATGAAGACCTCATAGCTACATAAGCAATAAGCCGTAGCCTGCACTTCTATGAGCTACAGAGGTTGCATTTTAACCTCTGAGCAATCTGACCTTCACAAAACAGAAGGAATCCCTAGGGGGGCGAGAGGAGAAGCAAGCAAAAATCTTCCTGGAATTGAGGAGAAAGTAGTATTCCATCTCAATTTAGGAACTCCTTGGCAGTATCACAAGTTTTGCACAGAAACCAAAAAACTCCTAGAAGCAAGAAGTCTTCAGTGGTCTTGTAATGGTAAGAACTCAATTCTTGCCTTTTTCTACAGTTAAAAACATACCATAAACCAAAAAGTTTATTGCTTACTATAGGCAAGAAAATTGACAGCCTCATGAGGGTGAGTAATTATTGAACTAGTGGTCCAAATGTTATTGTAAAATGAGTTATTGCCAAGCACTGAAGTGACATATAAGTAAAACACTTTATAGAAGTGGAGTATACTGATTGCAAAAAAAAATTAGTAGAGAATCTCTACAGCAATGGAGACAAAATGCACATAAAGTTAAATAACCAGATTTTAACCCACAGCACAAAAATGTTGCCAGTATGCAGGAAAATGGCATTTCCTTTGTCATTAACGGATCTTTTAAGCTTATTTAAACCAGAAATCAAATGTTACATTTTCCCTTCAATGAAAGTATGCCAGTTTTCAATCCATGCTAGTAACTAAAGTTTATACAGTGGGCTGTGTATCAGAAATGACCATTTTGTCCTGTAACAGTATTTTTACTAAGAAAAGCAATGCAGGTTAAAATCAGTTTCCTGTGTTTACCTGTGCAAACTGCAAAATTTCATTTTATTTCTTTACAAAAAGGAGCAGTATTTTGACTTAGGCATTTTTCAGGCAAACGCTAGAAAGTAAGGAAGAACATAGCCTCCATGTGATATGTATAAAGTAGACAGCTAAAAATCTATTTTATAGGATCTGTAGAAGGTGGCATAAGAATTTTACTTTCCATTCTGTAATCCTTCCTAGAATGAAAATGGGGACTTCACGTATGTCAAGGTTCCAGGCTCCCAGGTGAGTGTTATGAAAAATTTCTTCTCACAGAATGCAACCTTGATTCCTAAAGAGAGGAAAATGCTGTTGTTTCCACTATTTCAAAGTGCATTCATTTACTACATTTATTAATGCTTCAATGAAAAGTTAGGCCACTTTGATATTGCATCAGCTAGACAGACCTAGTTCAAAAAGCGAAACCAGGTTTCATTACATACATAGGTGAAGTCAATAGTGGCAAGAAATATATACTTTATAAATATGGAATATTAAAGGGAGTTTCATTTAGGTCACTAATGAAATAAATCAAGCTTTGTTCACTGACCACATAGTCTTAGTAAAGAATGTCAAGTTATTAAAGCAATTGTAGACACTTTCTAACTGGATAGGGAAAATGTATTTTTATAATACCTTACAGTGCAAAACTATTTAACCAATTTTTTTTTTTTTTACTTTTGCATTCTCTGTAGACTTCAGCAATGTATTACTACTGGAACTTATAATAATACTTACATTACTTTTTCAGTAGCTAAAACAGATTTATAAAACTTGAGCTGAGTAACTGATAGCTGTCCTATTTGTAAACTAGTAAATAGGCAATGGATTGTGATTAAAGTCACTAGCTAGCGGATGCCACTAGCTGCTGGCAAAAGGATGGCAAGATCCAGAAAACAAGGCTACCATTTCAGGTGCTTGCAAGAAGGGTTTTGTGAATACTTGTACAACTGTTTATTCTTCCTAAGATCAAACTCTCTTATAGTCTCCCTTTTCTATCTCAGCTGCTCTGTTCCCAGCTGTGGGACTCCCACCTGTTTTATTTTCTTCACTTAACCAATCTAAGCCCTTTCTGCCAACTCCTACTATGCCCTATGACAGACTCAAACTATCTTTGTGTTCTAATCTTATCTTCTTAGCTCAGGCCTTCTCAGCACTCGGGGGTTTTTTGTTTTGCTAAAAACTTACTCATCGTTTTGTACTCCCTTCTGGGTCTTTAATCTCATGATTTCATTTTCTGTCCATCATGTACCAGCCCCACATCATGTTGTAAATTGCTTTCCTAAACCTCTGTGTTCCATGGCCATCTAGTGCCAGTCTCCCTGCCCACTTTAGCCTTCACTACATGAACCTCACATGACTCCAGTTCCAATCTATTACTCTTGCTCTTTCTTTAGTTTTGACATCTATTAGAACCCTGAGGACACAAACACATTTTATCCTCTGTACTGCTTGGGCCCAACAGAAAAGCAAAGAAGTATGCACTGTTTCACACTGGCAAACTTGTAATGTTAAAAAAACCTCTGGTGATACATCAGAGACACAAAGACAAGAAGTCACACCTTAACAAATAGCAAGCCCCTGCTACCACTCACGGGGCCATTTAAAGGCTATCAAACAAAAAATGGATACAAATCTTAACATGTGGAAAATGTGTTCTTCCTAGCTCTATTTCATTAAAATACTAATCTTTTAAAGAAGTGTAAGCAACTAAAAGCAGCACTTCCACAATAAAAAACATGATTAAGCACCTGCCAGGGTATAACTCCATGAATACAAACCACTAAATCACACAAAACAGGGAGAAAACGAGAGCAAGTAAGCAATAAAGGAATTAAAACAGTTGCAGAAACAAAAAAATCATACTGAAGTGCTAGAAATTTCCTTCCCTGTGGAAGGAAAACAATCCAAACACAGAATTTAGGAAGTTAAACCAGAAAAAAAAAAAAGGTGGAATTCATATATACATGATTATCCCAGGAGTGAGTGACATGCACTATATGAAGCTTGTTTTACATAAGATAATTATTAGGAAATTTACAAACATGCAGGAAGCAGGTAAGTAATACTGCAGACTATGCTAAATTCTACCTGAGCATGGTTTTTTCATTTACCAGTTTGTAAATAGCAAGCATTGCAATGAAACAACTGACCCCAGGTTTCACAACAGGCAGCTGCTAGCTGGTATGTTGATGGTGAGTCTCAGCCACATGGGAAGGACTGCTCAAGAGAAATCAGTACAGGTAGAACAGAGCTGCCCAAATGTCTTAATAGTGAATGCTCCATAATGTCTGTCAAATAAAGAGAAAGAACATATAGATCAGAAAGCAAAAGAAAATAAACCACTAAACTGGAGTGAGAACTTAGAATAGAAAGATTGTAAAGAGAACAAAGAAGGAAACTATGTGAGAAACATCAAATATGTTTTTGGTGGAGTTTAAAATACCTCTTTAACAGGCACTAGAGCTTGCTACAGCTGGTGACAAGCCTCTTGTCAGTCATATATGGTGACAACTACAAGTTTAGATTCTTGTTTTGGAGACTAAGGTAACTTTCAACAAAAGTTTTGTTCTCTCTCCATTTCACTGCATAAGTAAAATAAATACTTACCTACACATAAAATATGCTGTAAGGTTTAGGTTCTTTTGTTCCAGAGGGAGTATCATACAATAGCACGGGTATAAAATGAACTATACTTTTTGCAAAACAACTACACCAATATTTCCCTTTATAAAGCCCACAGTTCCTGTATATATACATGTCTGTGTTTACATATATATAAACACATGTATATGTGTATTATACACACAGAACACAAGTTTTACCTTATTTTTAACTGTAGAGAAAAATGGAGCCCTCCAAGATCAGTTAAACTTACAGAACGCTCACTACCAGAAGGCCAAAGTGTTAAGAACTTTGTTAATCAACATTTCAGAAAAAGATAACCAAGTGAAAATACTTATTACCTTCATAATCTTTTGTGCCTTTCTAGAACATTTTCTGAGGGGTAAGCTTAAAGGAAGTACTATTGCTTTGCACTCCAATCCTGCATGTAACACTTTCAGGTTCCAAGAGCTAGATTATGAAGACTGTCAGACTTCCCCAGCTAAAGCTAGTTTATTGCGGGAACAGGAGCAAAGAGTTTAAGCCATGCAGGACAGATTTTCTTTTTTTCCCCTCTCCCCTCAAGCTATATATCCAGGATCAAAAGAACACCACCTCCTCTCCCCCAAAGGACTAAGAAGTCTCATATAGGAAAAGACACTATATGATTCCATATTGCTCATGTTGGCCAAAGCATTCTGTTGGATACCATCCATGGGAACAGCAAAAACTGAGACTAGAGCCATGCCTACACCCTCAGAGGTATACTGCCATTGGATAAGATGACTGAGAATAAAGAAAAACCAGAACAATGAAACAAGCCCCATGCACCTCCATGCATCAGAACCTTTAACACCTTTGCTCAGTCTGCAGAGACTGCAACTGTGTTGCTCAGCACCCCAGGCCTAACCGTCTCCCTCACACACACAGCATACCCAACGAACATTTACCAGGCCAGTGCCTCTGAACTCGAGATGGCCATCAGGCATAACTCAGGTTATTTCTCCCACATCTGAAACCAGAGAACAAACACACTTATCTTCCCTCCTGTTTCTGCTGTTACTGTAGACTCCACAGATCTCACTAGCAAACACAATTTCATACCTGTCCTCCAGGAGGATTCATTCATCTCCATATTAGAGAATGCCTTAAGATCAGAAACACTGCACAAGAACCAGAAAAGGTAAGGTGAAAAGGAATAACTATATCCCACAACTACTAATTACAACTAAAGGAAGATAATCAAGTAAAAATGAAAACTTGTCCAAAACTATTTGGCATCATCTTCTAATTAATAAAACCATCAGAACTCTGCAAGTATTTGTAAGGTTTTAACTGTATCTGTCTACCTCAGACCCAAACAGAGCAGAGTTTCAATTATGGGTAACAGAAGACTCATGAGAAAATGGGTAAGAATGAGCAAGAAATACCATGAAGGAACAGACAAGATTAGCAATTTCACGCTCAGTTTCATCAAGATTAAATCTGCACTGCTAACACAAGTCTTACTTCCTCTAGTCTATCCTGAAGTATAGGTATAAGTTTGTGCAGATGCTTGACAAACTTTTTTGAGGAACTGATCCAAGTTTAAGTTAGCTCTGTTTTAGGTGGTGGGAATGGGACTTCATCTTTAACTACATCAGTTCCCTGACCTCGTTTACCACATTTGCCTCACAAAAACCTTCACCAACACAGAAAACGGATGGTGTGGAAAGTGGAATAAATTGCTGGATTATGTCAGCTTCAGCTGTGTGTGAAATCACTTCTAAAGCTACGAATAAAGATGGAAAACACTGTATCAGGAGGTATGTAAGAGTCTAAACTTGCAGGTCTATCCCTATGCTGCAGTAACCAAACACAACCTTACCATGCGTGCCCATATTCTACTGTAAATCAACATATCACTTATCATAGGGTAAACTACTTTGCCTTTGCTATAAGGTAAAGCACAGTACTGTGGCAATTACTGTAGAGGAGGGAGAGCTACTGGGCTCCACAGCTACCTTGTAACTCACTTCACACTATCTTGTTTGTATGGCCTTGATCCTAGGAAAGATTAAAGGTCAAGTTTTAGGTGAAAAAGCTTGTTTCTCTATTTGATACAGTAAGTATGCACTTGCTTTGGATCCCAGGACTACTTTTTTTTTTTGGAAAGTGTTTTCATAGCCTATTATAATATTCAGTTTATATTTCATTTTCTGATCACTGTGTTATACCAACTCCCTTTTGAGTACTTCTAAAACCATGAATCACTACTGAAGTACTTGCATTTTATTCCAAGACAACCCTTGATGTTACAGCCCCCTCTACTGGAAATAATTAGCTACAGTTACACAATCTGGGAAAAAGGTTGTCGAAAGAGACGCCAGATAAGTGAAAAAATACACACAGAAGAGCCCATAATGTGGCTTTGATTAATTCACATTTAGTCTCTCATTTGAGGCTGAGTAAGAATCTTTCACAGAAGATTAAGTGCTGTTGTTATCAAATAAAGCTAATACCTTTAGTCCTTTGTTATCAGGCAAATCTAGACTAAACCTAGTTTAGACATTTCATGTGTGTTAACAGCATTGTTAGTTTAGGCAAAAGGACCTTAAACTGTGAGCTAAAAAACCCAACCACCTGCATCAGGTGACATGAAGAAATCAGAACTGCACTGAAAAATTGACAGGTGGCCAAGAAGGACAATTTTTCACACTCCACGTTCCAAAAATACCACCTCACCACAACATGAGGAGCTTATCTAAAGCTGCAAGAAATTAATTCAACTCTCAAGAGACAGAGACTAGGATTTGTAACTATCCAAGAACCGGACAAGGTTCACAGTTTTCACCCAAAACACATTTTTCATTGGCAGTTGTCTTTGTTATCTCAAGTTTGAAAATAACTAGCCATGTTGGGTTTACTTTTTTGTTTCCCCAAGCAGTTCCGAAACAAGTAATACTTACATCCTCTGCAACAAAACCTCATGCGAAGAAAAGCTCTGCAACATGTTTCCCTTATTTATTAATTCGTTAATGGAAGACTTCCATCCCTACCCTTCTTCTCTTTACTGTCCCCCTTCAAGCAAGGGGACAGCAAGACTACAGTACTCATTAACTCCTAGTTTGATACTCACGGGTGCAGGCATGGCTGTGGCACTCTGGGCATAAGGCTGGTGATGCGGCACTTGCACTCCATGTTCAGAATACAGCTGGTATACAAGAAAGCCAAAAAGCTTGTTTCACAACTTTGGTTTTGCAAAACTTTCACATCACTTTAGATTCCTTAAAACTTTGAATTGTGGGCTTTAAACTACTGGCTTCTTAAAGAATTTCAGTATTTAAGTTCATGTTCTCCCCACTGTACCAAGTTTAGTAAATTAGTTCATGTAGACGCAGTATCTTGCCAGCAGTAGCATGCTTCTCTACTACAAATAAATCCATTTCATTTGGCTCTAACTGGAACAGTGTTTATGTGTAGATTAGCATACTGAAGACTAATTCCCAGCATTATCCCACTTACAAGATATTTACAAACAAAAAATACACAGGCTTTTAATTTGACACCATCTTCTGCATTTCCATACACTGCTTCCTTTAACATCAACAAATTATGTCCCTGGAAAACTGGCAGAAATATTCTAAGACAACTGAAATGATTTAACAGCAGCAGCATGGCTGTGGGGGTTAAGTACAGTGAGTGTTAAGTACTCTGGAACTGCCTGTGCTTAACACTAAAAGTTGTTAAAATTTCAAAAGCCCTTCAATTTTAAGTAAATTTTAGAAATACCTCAGGAACTGCAGCTTCCACTAGGAGAGGAAAAGGGATACATCCATTTTCCTGGGTAATCCCTATCGGCTGATAAATGACTTCAGATGGTTGCAGACACAACAGTGAAGGTGAAGAGGCAGAAGACTGAAGTAAAACACATAGTCTTCATAAATTATAGGATTTATGCACTATAAATAAGGTTTATTTTACAGTCGGCTTTGCCAAATAAAAACAGAGATAAAGCTTTAAAAGAAAGTGCCAAATTCATCTTTGATAACCTAAAGAAACTAAGTGGGGGGGAAGTGGATAGAAATGTCAGGTAGTAAGATAAAAACAAAGGTGTCCTTTAATGTATTATTCAGATTTTATATTTTGAAATCATATTTCATTTATAGTTTTGTTAGAGAAATCCTAACCTTTACAAAAATTGACAGTTAAGATCACAGAAACATAGTTTTTCTCTTGCAAATACTACATTAAAAAAACCAAGTATGTCTGTTTTAAAGTAAAGCTCACAGTATTTCTCTAATTCAGCACCCAGATTTCAAAGCAGCAGACTAACATCTATATTAACAGAGTGGAACTGAACACAACTGGACAAGGCTGGCTGCTACTAAAGTTACGAGGAGACACTGTAACAGCTCAAGACTAAGGGACTTGAATCTCCTTTTAGCTTCAAACTCTGAGTTCCTTGAGTGGCAAGATTTCAGTAATAAGCTCCTCTGCTACACAGATCACAAAAACAATAAAGTCTCCCCACAAAATTACCAAGACACCAATGTCAAGTTCTTCCTCTTATTTCACAGGTCTGGGTCTAACTCCAATGAAGCATCACAGTATCAGTTAATGAGCTAGTTGATACTTGTTTCTATCAGGCAAAATATGGCAGTTTTTAATTTAATACAAACTTTTTTGCCAGAGGGAGAAGAGAGGGAAAGATGCTTTCTTTACATCAGATTTCTACTTCTAAATGCTATTTTATGCCTTCTATTGTATCTGCGCTGCAAATGCATTGCTAAAATATAGCAATTAATATTTATTTCAGTGTTTTGAGCAGTAGGAAATTTCACTGTTAGATACATGCAATGTACCTTCAAACCAGATGTAAACTAATGGTAAAGTGCTGCAACTATGAAGTGTATTTACCTGTGGAACAGACCACTGCCACTGACTTGGAAGACACTGTGTCGGTGCCTAAACGCAAACAAAGAAGATAGTACTTACGTGATTAAGAACATATGCATACACTTACTAGAATTCCCACCATATGAGGTTCAAAGCCATCTCAAATCTATAATCAGTTAATTAAAAATAAGAAATATGATTTTCCTAAGCCCTCAAATAATTCAGGAACAAAGTCTACTTCCACTCAGACCCTGACTTAAGCACTTCATAAGTTCTTAAAATACTGAAGCATCTAAGAAGCATGCCTAACTAGAAAACTAGAAGATAAAATGCAGTTAACTTCACAATACACATTAGAAACACAGACAAACTGCATAAATCCAGTAGTAGGCCACCAAGATGGTTAGGGGGCTGGTGAATAGCCAAACAAGGATGCTGCATTAGGTTTGTTCAGCCTTGAGAAGGATAAAGGTGGGAGGGATGAGAGATATAAATATGACTGAGCCAGATTCTCATCAGAGCTGTTCAGAACACAAGAATCAATGGACAGAGGCTGGAACATTGAAAAAATCTAACCAATATAACAAAAAAAGTCTTATCATGAGAAGGGTCAAATATTGAAAGAGACTGTCCAGATGGGTTGTGCCATCTCCATTACTGGAGATACTTAAACCTCAATTGGACAAGTTCTGATAAACCTGATCTAACTAGCCCTGCTTTGGGCAGGAGTTTGGCTTAAAAGTATGGTACTAAGCCAGCTGTCTAGCAACAACAAAGAAAATTCTAATTTATTACATATCCAGGTAGTTACACAGGCAGAGTAAATTGTATTCTAATGAAAAGAAAGCCTTCAATGAAATTCAAATCTGGTTTATATGACTATTTAAAATAGTTATTTCCTAAGAATAGACAGACATGAGGCAGTGCCACAAGTAAAACTGCATGGCTGGAAGGAACAGTTGGTCTGAAACCCATTTTCAAATACATACCTGATAATGCAGTGTAGGAGACTGATAAACTGGTTGAGCTACCATCACAGGTGAACTGGAAACAGTCCGCAACTTAAAGAAAAAAGTTAAAAGTCTTAATGCAGCAATGTCATTAATTGTCACTCTTCGTAAGAACAGTTCTGAAGTACTGTAATGCTGAACCAACTTCCCTCCCTTTTGAACTTAGACTTAGATTCTTCAAACCCACTGTTTCTAAGGGCCTACATTAGAGATGAAACAAAAATCTTTGGCTTATTTACTTAGTCCTTCCCAGAAAGCACTAGGCCATTGCTACCTAGAAAAGCTAAGGCCATCCACTACCCTGACCATGGGTATGTTTGTTAACAAGGCAATCTAAGTGGTCACTGATGTATTTCTACTCTTTCCACAGCCCAAGTGCAATCTGCCCTTTTCCACCCTGTCCTCACAACAGCCCCAGCACGCATCTGACTTGACAGCGAGGCAGTTAAGGAGCTAACCCAGCTAGAAACCTGTCTGTTTTGCGGGGACCCTGTTTTGGGCCAGAAAAACAACAGTGAAAAGGAAGGGGGGTGGAGGGGAAAAAATATATAGCTATGGTAGAGGACAAGATAGCACTGTGTGCAACTCCCATCTCAAATTCCTTCAGTCCTGAAAATATTTAGGGAGGGATAGCTGCAAAACTAATTAATTCAACATTATATAAAAATGAAGAAAGCAAAATGGAAAAGAGACCCACAACCTGTATTGCTATACATTATCAATATGCACAACAAAGACTATTGATATCTTCTATGTGATTGTTCTCTTTTAACAGCAAATTTTCAGATTTTTTTCCTTATAGTTACTTTCCTAATGATGAGAATTAAGAATAAGTAAATAACTGAAACCAAGAGAGGCAGCAGTATTTGTAATTGGAAGGATTGAATGCTGTTTGTTTGAAACACAGTGCATTTGAGCCAGGGCACCAGAACCAAAGTCCAGCACTAGAACAAAGTGTTGTTTTTTCCACGAGGCAGGATTTGAGCAAGTTCTCTAGAGCTACAGAGCATGAACCTCAAAAACACTTTCTAAAATATGAACAGTTGTTGTTTATGCTTACCCTCTAAAGCTGAGAGGGCACTATGAGACACTAATCACACCTCTGTTAGAAGAGCAAACATCTTACAAGTTAAGTGGTTAAAACAGAAGCTAAATACAGAGAAAGATTCTGTAATACCGAAATAAACAACGTAAGATTCTATTACTGCTCTCACCTCTGTTTTGGGGAGGTTTGTTTTTATTTATTAGTAATTCTTCTATTGAGTTTTTCCCCCAATAAGTGAAGGGATTTTCCACTCATTTATAGAGATGATACATACACCCTCAGTGAATGCTGTTTTTACTGTAATCAGTAAAAGGATGCATCTTCTATGTAGGTCCTGTGCCTTCTGCAGACCCCGTGAGTTTTGCAATCCTTGCCTCTAGTAAAAAGCAACTGACAGCTTCTTGTAATTCCCAAGAAATTCTGTCCAAGTTCCCCAAGACTACTACAGCCAAAAAATTAATCTATTGAATTATCTTCGTCCTAAACCAAGAATACTGCTTGAAAAAGTTACCCAATTTAACTTTTGCTTTGTTGATCTATTAAGTTTTTTCATCCTCAACATAACAGTTTGCAGCCAAGAACGCATTGCTCATAAAGGAATAATAAATGGAGCCCATCAAGGGTGAGAAGCACCACCAGCTCCTCTGTAAAAAACACTTCTCCTGGGGCAAGGCCCACATACCAATTCTGAACTACCCTGCCCAATAGATCACAAAGCAGAAGTCCCCTGCAGAAGAACAATAAACTTAAACGATATTAAAAACCCACAAAACAGACTAATGGAAGGAAATGATTTAAGCATCAACACAAGGCAAAGCCGAAGAAACTGGAAACAGAAGGTACTTGAAAACATTGCACTCATCCTGGTCCACAGAAAACCACATGCACAAAAATAAGTTACTTACTGGCCATGGCTGTGGAACAGAAGTAGCTTCAGCCGTATGAAAATAAGCCACTCCGTTATGGTAAATATAAGGATATCCACTTGAAGTAGTTAAGTACATTGTACCAGCGTCTGGTATTACAGCAGAACCTGGAATGAAAATTTTTAAGTTGACTTACTACTAAGTCTTTTTTTTATGACCTACATAACTGAAAAACCGTACAGATAATTACTGATCTTCAGAGAACCAAAACACTGAAAGTAGAGAACATGGGCAGTGTGCCTAGGGCTCTCTCAGTTCCCTCTCACACAAGATCATGAGAGCACATGGTCACAGGACATCTCCAGAGGTAGATGGGACGGGGTGCAGGTGACAACATGCATATTACCAAACACAGATAACTCCAGTTATCAGCAAACTTATTTCAAACTTCAAATGTCCAAAGGTAACTTCACACTGTAGTTTTTAATAGGTAACATCCACACATTCATATTAAGCTGAAACAGTATCCAAGCACTAAAACCAACAGAACAATTTCATTACAAGACACAGCCTGGTTTCTGAACCCACAAAGACCGTTTCTGTAACGACACATTGCTAACATCTAGATATTAGTTTTTACTTTTGCCAGGCAACAGCAACACTTCTCAGCGATGCTGCTGCTCTGGTGGAGGCTGTGAGTGAGCATGGTCTGATCCCAAAGCAGAGTTTCTCTATCCCTACACAAAGGTGGATTATCTTCTTCAAATACTGCCTTTGAGATCACCTAGGCTCTGTTTCTGCCTGCATTTTAAGGTAGATGGGACAGAATTTCACGTCTAGAGCTTCGTCAAACTTGTCCTCAAGTTTCAGTTCCAAATATAAAAATACTTCTGAAGATAGAAGGAAAATGAACTTAACTGAAATTGAAGTCACAATAAGTAGTAATACAGCATGAAAAAAAAAATTCAAGAACACAATACAAAAGACAATCACTGAGCAAGTTTTAACTTTGCAAGAGATTAAAATCTAATTACCACAAGGAAGTGCCATTTTACGGTCAGACACAACACTGAGGGATTACTAGAATGCTATGGGGACAATGGTTCAAGAGCTTTTATTGATGGTAACTAGACAAGCCTGAATACACTTTGATACAATAAAGCTAAAATATTATCCATAGACAGGTCAGACTTAAGATGGTTGTTAGGATAGTGTTAAATGGCTATGTTAGCTCCAGTAAGCAAATCTAAACTAGCAGTTACTGAGATCTTAAGTGAGGAAATCAACAGGACCCCACGGTCAACAGTCCTGTCCACTAACTACCAAGTACACCCCACAGAACTCTGCTATTGTTAAAGAAGTCTCTTGAAAAGGAAATATGCTTTGTCAAACCCAGCAAATTCACTATGACAGAAAAATAAGAGACCTTGGAAGAGGTATAGCTATCTGAAATTCTTCCAGCTCACAACAATTTATCATTCTTCCTCCCATCGTTCCCATTTGGTTTCTTCTTTTCAGCTTTTAGAATGTCCATTTTCACAACATTTGGTGCTGAGGAAAAGCAGACTGAGCAGTCCTCCCAGTAAGTTCAAAGCTCTTGGTACAAAAGTTCCTATGACAGAAAAGCTAAAAATTGTTTCACTTAACAGTAGGGAATACAGGCACAAGATTACAGATGGGCTGTAGAGGATAGTGATAAATAGTCTCTTCAAGTCTCCTAAATTTAAGAGAACCGCAGCCCTACAGTGACACTGCCAACACTAGATTTTATGGCTTCTTGAACTTCAAGATGAGCTACCGGAGAAGGTACCCTAGCGACCAAGGTTGGTAGGCTGTGCATGAGAGCAGGTACAATAAAATCTGATCCTAGGATGTGTCCCAAGATGTCAGTATGATCTTGTATCACAGTTCTAAGCCTGAGAACAAGTGGCAAAGCCAAACAGGGTCACAAATGTGTCTGAGGACACAGCAGCTTTCTTCAAAAGTGTTTGAGGTTTTTTCCTCTCTTCCCCCTGGTCTCAGAGAGATATGCCCCTCCTCTATCAATACACACATGAGCACAAGAGTCAGAGGAAGGAAGCACAAGTAGGCAATGCAACCGCAGAAGTCCAAGTCAGGGACAGAAAGGGGAATAAAACACACACCCCTCTCCACCCCCCCATAATCATTTGATGACTGAGCAGAGATCATGCTCAGTAATTTCTAAAGCAGAGAAACTTAATTACAATTGGAAGTCTTCCATTTCACCGGGCATGTATTATAGAAATAAACCAGCCCTTGGCAGAAGGGGCGGACATCTTCTCTAGAAGAAAAGAGTATACTTGCTCAAGATAAAGTCACCTGAAAAAACCTTTACACCCCTCTCCATGTGAGTGTTCAGCGTAAACAGTTCTTTACCCAAGGAACATACAGCATCCATTCCATTATCTTACAGAAAAAAAACCTTAAAAAACCTAATTGTGATTGCAAACACCCATCTCTTATGACTTCTACCAAAGAAAGCAAGATGCAACACTCCTGATGGATTGTGCCAATATAAATAAATCTGTAACAACCCAACCAGACAGCACAGCCTGCTTTAGCCTGTAGAACCTGAGAGGACAGTCTTAAGTGTTTAGATTTGAGGTTCTGCCTGGCAACTGGGAGAAATTTCCATTCAATTTGTTCCTAGATGATGTTTTCCAAGAAAGAAAGTAAACATATTGGAAGAGGTAAGAACCAAAAGATCGTAAGTTTATTTGGACACCCCCACTGGTATGACTTTACTTCCACTGCAAATCATGCAGAGCACGTTCCACGCACAACATTAATACAGTGCACCACCAGGCACATCCTGGTTAAAAGCTTACATCCATAATGACACATAATACACAAACGTAAACAAGAATACATACGAGAACTCCGCATTTGTTGTTTTCTTACTGCTGGACCAATATTCAGTTTCTTATCCTTGTAATTAAGTTTTTTAGCCTAGAATTAAAGAAAAAAAAAAAGAATATTCAGTACGTGTGTTTTCTACATATATCTAGGCATCCAAGAAAAATATCAGAGGTAAATAAGGCACTTAATGGGTTTCATACTCCCCTGCATCTCAAACCAACTAAAAGCTATACTAATTCCTTTTCTAACCTAACCTTAGACTTCACATACATAAAATTAATCATTAGTAATTGAAAGTATTACTTACTCCTCATGGAGCCTCTTGACTAAGAGCTGATACTTAGAATTGTCAGTTTTACCTCTCATGTATTTACTGCTTTTATAAAAGCACATATGTACACTAATGGACAGTTTCAAATATGAAGACTGGGGTTTTTTTTTCATGATTACAGTGTGAAGAAAGATAAAAGGAACAAGTCAGTCTATGAAAAAGGCCAGATTATAAGAACTGAACGTAAGAAATAGCCGTATTTGCTCAGGACTTGCCTTAGAACTTCCTTATATCCAGGTCAACAAGACATAAAAGCAGGCTAAAGCCCAGTGAGGCTAAACTATTGCAGAAGAATTTAATAAGAAGTGCTAGGTACAAACAAGTAAAGCTACATTCTCTTCCAACTGTTCTGCTTACAACAGAAACCGAGCATCAGGTCCATCAGCTAACTGAAACCTTGCCTTTGTTTTTAAATTGACACTGAACTCAACACTTGTTAATATCATGAAAAAGATAAGGCAAATCAACCATTGTTTTTCAGTTGTTAGCAGCTCTCTTACAGATTCGCGACACCTAGCAGAGTTCTGAAGAACTGCTTCCCTGAACAGTTACATACGGAACACACACTAAACACCACCATGTTACAACAAAGTTTTCAGAGCTGTAACTTCTCCAGTAAGGAGATAATTACTTCTTAAACAGGAACACAAAGAAAGCTAAATGACATCCAGCAGAAGGACAGCAGTTAGATAATCAACACTTTCTCTTAATTTCAACCCAATTTAGCAAAATTCTTGAACACTTGTACATAAAGTCCCACCTATCAGATTTCAAGCCAAGAAGAGCTATTCACTATTTGTTGAATCTGAGTTCCTAACCAAGTATTAATTATGGAAAGCATACCTTCCTAGCCTACTAAACACAGAGAAACTCTAGACAACAGATGCATATTTCAGTCAAAACACATTCCAACACAGACAGCAGGAAGACTATTCTTCCCAATGCAATGAATTTCATTGATGTGATCCATCAGAATTGAAAGTTTTTATACACAACTTTCACAGTTAAGAGAAATAGCTGTATGGACTTCTTCCAAGCATTTCATACAGCACTGCATGAAAAATTATACATAATGCTACATGAAATGAAGACTAATAGGGAAAAACTGTGGTGAATAAAAAATAACTTCAAAAAGATGGGAAGAGGTAGAAGTAGTACTAGTAACGTATGACCAGAAAGTGGATCCCAGGGAAACTCCAAGGTGTGCTCTCAGTGCTAACACAATTTAATACTTTCAAAGACTACAACACAGAAAAAGAAATTTCTGGAGTCATTACTCACAACGGAAAAGTAGGATGCAAAAAAAAAAAATCAGTGCAAAGTTTGATCAGAGTGTCATATACATGAAAAGACATGCAAGAGTACAAAGTCAAAAATAATTCATTTCATACATAAATTACTGAAGCCTGGAAACTCTCAGCTTAAGATGTTCCAGACAGACCTTGATGCAAATTGATCTCAAGATGAATATGAGAGCAGCATGATGTAAAGATTAAAAAGGTGACAGAATTGCAGCACAGCTGAACTAAAGCACTTACAAGAGACTTAGTGTCATTGAAGGAGACGCCAGTAAGACCTCACATGGACCAGCCTTTCAGTTACAACAGAGGCAAAAAAGTCCTCAGCCATTTTCACAATGGTCACTCAATACCACTGGCATTGTTCTAGTTCACAGAACAATAAAAAAACCCAGGGGAATGAAAGTAGCTGACTTGAGAAGTTCCTGTCTGTATACTCTTTTGGCTCCACATATCTTTGCTTCCTGAAAACTTCTCTGAAAATTTCTTTCAAGTGTATCAGCTCGTTTTGAATTTTAATACAAAAATTTCCAAAAGCTCAGTATTTCAACATTTTAGCCAGCTTTATATTTGGGAGAAGGCAATTTGCAAGCCTTAGATACTATCGTCTGTTTCCCCTTGCCACTGGATACCTTCCTGTGTATGAAAAGATCCTGACCAACAAACTCTCCAATACACTGCATGCAGAACATGGAGTGCACATTTAAAACCAAAGCCAACTAAAGAACTAACCATGCCTTGAGGGAGGCTCCACAAGGAGTTAAGACAGTAACATAGCTAAGAGAAGCAAAAATTACATGACATGAGTTTCGCTAAGATTAAGTGTATCTAATTATTCCTGAAAAGAATTAGATCAGCTCAGACAATCAAATACGTCAGAATAAGAGGCAGCAGTTATATTTCCCAACTTCCCACAAACACCCTGACAACAATGGATTTTCTAGTAAAATGAAAGCAATTGTGAAGGATAGAGTCTTTATAGCTCTATACATACACTATAGACCACATACAGACTACGAAAGTAAAGACTGGATGTCAAAGTCAAGAGCTATACTATGAGCCAGCAACCACCTTCACAAGTTCCAGAAGATCTCTGTATAAGTCTTGCCTTCCATCTCTAGGCCATCTTCTTAACCATGCAAACAGAATCTTCAAATCCAAGTTGGCAAACAGAAGAGGACCAGACAGACAACCAAGGCTACTTCGTGTCTAATATGAAATGAAGTATTTCATTTAATAATCATAGTGGGACCTACCACTTACCTCTTGTAAAATCTTCTGTGCATCTTCTTGGGTTTCAAAAGTAACAAAGCCATACCTAAATAAAAATCACAGAAGCTAAGCCTCTGAAGTTCATATTTACACACACTGCACACTGAGACATTGTACAAGTTACATTCAAAGGTAAACTATTTTAGAGATAAAGATCACAGCAACATCTGCAATCTTAAATTAACATCCTTATTACAATCTCCTTACTAATATATTTAAACACATGGGCACGTATTACTGTTTCTATGCAATGAAGGAGTAGCCCACATAGAAAGCTACACAAAATCCTGTATTGAACTTGTTCCTCAACATACATCTTTAGTTCCTTCATGTCTATTCAACAAAGTGATTTTGATCCGAAGCTCTCACTCGTTATGGCTGCCCAAGATGAGGCACGTGCTTCCACGGCACATGCTTCCACCTACTTCAGCAACAACTGTGAATGCTCCACACTTCCACAAACACTACCTGCTATATTGAGTTCTCAGAAAACACAGCAATGCAGATAGTGTTTATCTGTGAATAATTCTTGTCTTTCTTGACATGACTAAGATTAAACAAGAATTCTGTGGTGATCAAGGATGAAGTATTCTCATACTTCATGATACAGCATGTCGTTCATCATACCTCTTCTAACAAATCAAACAGGCTTTCTGGACAACTCCTGCTGTATCACAGCCCCTCAAGTGATTCCCACAGAAATCTAGGCCACTGAATGTGGTACTGCCTTTGCAAAAGTAAGGATATGATCTTGTAATTTATGTCTGTACCACAACACATATGTACAAACAGAACTTTTTGGGGAAAAAAGGGAACATCAGCTTTCTGAATTTCAACAAATATTTTTGAAATCTTTTAGTAGTTCTGTGTGTGTAATTTCTTATGTTCATGGTTCATTTCTCAGGGTCAGATTTCAGAAGATAGCAAGAAAGCCTCTGTCATTCCAGCCAGCAGTTCAAATTTTGCAATACAAGGTATCCTTCCTTCTGAGAAAGATTATTTGATTACAGAGGTCCAGGAAGTCTCTAACCAGCTACGCTTTCAAATTTGTGGGCTTTTCCCATAATGCCTTTCTAAACAATTTGTAAATATTTCAGTGTTCCAAACACACAGAAATTATTTTCCTAGCTTAAGGCCTTACCCACACAAACGTTTCCTTCTATGCGCTAGCTAGAGAATAAGCTAGTAGACATCATCTATCATATAAACTCCTAAATTTCTGAAATCATATCAACAAGAAGCAGTGAAGCCTGTGCTTGGATGTTAATGGAAATCCCAACACCATTGACACTAGCTATTTTCCAACATGTTTACTGTGAGGCATATGTTAGCAACCACCACTGCATATTAACTGGTTGTTCTTAAGTTACTGTATTATATGGACACATGTAGTGCGAGTCTTGGCTATTTCTTGGAATTTAAAAAAAGAGCAAGAGGCTTGGTGATGGATCTGGGACCAGGACCAAGTGCAACACACCATGTAGGTGTATCATCTATGCTAAAACCTGCAGATCAGTGTGTAATTTGCTGGTATAGTAAAAGTTTGACAGCATTAAAATGATGAAATTCAGACACCACAGGCTTACTGTTCAGAAGAGAACTTCTGACCAAAGTGAACATTACACATACAAATTATCATGCACATTCCCTTTTGCTTCAGCCTTCTTTCCAACCTTCTGTGGCAGCATAGATACTGCTTGTTTCCTTCCCCAGCCTCTGGGTTCTAGCAATAACCTCACTACCCAATCTTAATCTTTCTCCAGATTTGCTCTTTGGCCTTTCTCTTCTTGTTTACTTACAGTCTTAGTTCCCTTTCTCACAATCATGCTTCATTATCAGATTTATCTCCTATGTTCTTGTTCCAAAAATCTTCACACACAATCTCAGTTACTGCCATGCACTCCAGCACAATCAGGTGTATCTCACCTCTTCCTCCACTCTTACACTTTCTACACTGTCATTCAGTAGTAGAAATAGATGTTTAATTACCTTTTGAGGATTATCTACTTAAATTATTGTTATCGGAAAAAACCTGGAAGAACTATTGATTTCATCCTAGCTGCACACAGCTTCACCTTATAAACAACATGACTACTGAGTTTTACAGTTATGCAAATTACAATCACATTTATATGTAGATGTTAAAGAGGCAAGAACATACTTTGGCATACATGTAGTAACTGGGAACATCAATGACTAAAATAATATTGCAAGCTATAAAAATAATAATTCAATTTACTGTGGTCAGTCAGCTTTCTGCTATATTTTCAATTCCCACAACATGCTTATTCTACTATACCAACCCCTTTGACACTCCAGCTCTGTCATTTACTATCTTCACTTCTTTCACACTGCCATACTGAGCAAAAAACTTCCTCAGATCATTTTCATTAGTCTAGCAGAGTAAATCAAGAAGGAGGGAAGGAAAAAAAAAAGAAAAGTTAGTTTGCATAGTTACTCTCCATAGGACTTTCAATGGATATACTTCAGATCAAGTTTACTACTAACCTGTTATAACCCTGAATAGGAAAGGAGAAGAATGAGCATGTATGAGCCTCACGGCTCCTGTTTAACTACTGCATTTATACTCAGGAATAATACTAGAAAGACACTAAAATATTAGAAGTCCTCTTAAGCAGATTTACATAACAATGGTCCTTTTACAGTTAAGACCATTGAAGTAGGTTTACTAGATCAGAATTTTAGTTTCTATAAATTACATACTAGAGCACTGTTTACAATATGAAGCATCACTGCCATATTTTCCAACTTCAAAACAGCAGAGTATGTAGGCTTCCATAAAGCGTATGCACAGGTCGCCTATGAAACAAATCCCCCACTAACCACAGCAACTTAATGGTCAAAGTCATCTAATAGACCACGATCCCTCTTTCTAAAGCATATTTAATATGACTTAGCAAATATACATGGGCATGCCATAGGAAATCCCATTATAAATTAAGTAATAAAAGGTTCTTGTAATGGAGAACAGTGTAATTCCACTTGAAGGAAACTCTTCCCTCCTGAGTATGCATGGAGTAAGGCAGGTTCCTAATGTAAAGGCACACGTAAGCTATGCAAACGCTCACTGACCTTCTATGAATCATTTTCTTTTACAGCGTAAACATATATCAAATATGGTGGCCTGAACACAACATTTCAGATATTTTAAAGCTTTGTTCTACATGGTCCTTAGTTAATACTACACCTAGCACTGGAAGAAGTATGCTTATATGCATGAATTTCTGTATGCTTCAAGCAATTTCCATATTCATCTATACTTCTCCTTATTTTAAGAGCGAGTATATCGTAAGTACTATTTTACCTCTAAGTGAATGACTCCTATTGTTTTTAACTGAATATATACAGTTTAGTAAATCCTCTCCTGCATCATATTCAAGCTTGAGAAACAAAAAGAGCTTAAGAAACAAAAACTAAAACACTTCCATAACTGGAAATAATACGAAATCCTCTAAGATTCACAATAAAAAAAAAAAATCCAAGACTGACATATGTATCCTATGATTTAAAACACCAATTTAGGACCCTACTTGATATCAAGAATCATAGTAAATGGTTGAGTAGCTGAAATGCCTACAGAGGTTTCACTTCTATTTCCTTTCCCAACAAAATCCATCTTCTTCATGCTCAGATACAAAACACACTTAAATCACTGTTGTTGAAATTAAGATTCATAACAGATTCTGACCTATCAGCAACTGAACCAAGTCAAGAGACCCCTCAGAATGAACAATAAATGTGACAATTGCCAAGAACATTGATATTACACAGAAAGTATTTTAACCTTTGAAGTTTCAGTGAAGAAACAAGAGGTTGGTCTTTTTAAAGCTTTAGTAACTTGCTTACAATTAATGCAAAGAAGCTACTGTGCCTCTTCGCTAAAGCCCAAATACAAAAATCTCTTGAATTATGAACACCTCTATTTGAATTGTCTCAGCCAAACAAGCCAAGAGATCCCAGAATTTCTTGTATTTATTATGCAAAATAGACTGAGTGAATTATCATTCTTCCTCCTCTTCATCTGAGTCAGAGCCCAAAAGGCCCTCAGCCTAGGAGGATTAAGGCAGAGAGCATTCCGTTGGTGGGAACAAAACCAGATAAGCAGACCAAGAATGCTTTGCAGACATCAATGAATTAACTCATTATCTAAAGGAGCAAGAAAAAAAAGTCAGAGTAGCTGGTATAAAGGTCTGGTGCATATCTTGTCACAAATGTTGAAAGCAACTGAAAAAAATGTAAGAATGGCTCACTGTTCACTGCTATTTGAGGTTTTCAGGGCATAAGTAAAGCACAAACATTCTAATAATTAAGATCAAAACTGTAAATTGCCCAGAGAAGCTTCAATATCTATTTTAAAACACTTGCCTTTAAAGAAAAGCACAATGGAAAGTGCAGAATCCATACACTGTAGCTCCTTCGTATGAAATAGAGAAAAGCACTAGAGGAACTGAAGCTACTGGCATTTGCAATCTATAACACAGTGTAATTTAATAAACTGCAAATATGAAGTGTTATACATAAAAAACCCTACAAACTTCTCTACCATAAGCTCTGCAGCTGACAAAAGCCATCTTCTTTAATATGAGAAAATTCTGAAGAACCAGTAAGTGAAAAGCTTCCAGCAGCTAGGTGTACAATTCGTAGTACAGTTACATAAATTAAGGCTTAAAGCTTGATTCCCTACTGTTGATTTGAACATTATAGCGAAGGGCACTTACCACCTAAACAGACACATATGATTATGTCTCACATTTTTACTATTGATTTTTATAGTTATAAATTATCATTTAGTAGTAAGAAAAGGAAAAAAAATACCTTAAAATCAATTCCTCCCACAAAGATGCGATTCGGAGTAACTGTTCCAAACCTCGGAGAACTGCTCAGGTTATTTAATGGCACTGGTGACATAGTGTTGGGAGATGAAGATGAAGACTCTGTTTGCATCTGATTTGTGGCCTGCTGATTGCAAGAAAATGTTTTCAATAACTTAACACGTTATAAACTATTAAGTACAAAAAATTCTCAACAGAAAGTACACAGAGAACTTTTTGGGAGGCACAGCAAATGCTGAACAACTGAACATTAACCTGGTCAGAATACAGCTCAATGTATTTAAACATAAGCTTTATTTTAAGCAATTCAGTAACTTAGCTTATTCACTATGGTCCAAAGTTTGACTTACATTTTAACCCCTTTCCAAATTAGACATTTAGGGCCTAATCCCCCAATCTTAGTTTTTCTCTTTGCCCAACACCCTGCTGTATGAATCCCAAGTTACGAATGCTATTTCAGAGACTAATTTGTACCTATCAGAAGCCTCTTAGTTCAAGACAGAAAGGACCTTTTCAACTCCACCAGCACTGTCACACACTTATCTACAAAAAACTCTGCTCTCAGCAACAGCTTTTACTGGATTTTTCAAGTGCCAAGCACCCATAATTCTACCACATTAAACTGGTAGGGTTTATTGTTTTGGATTCTTTAAAGACAGTATGTCCAGCTTAGTCCACACCTTTTCAGTTTTACGAAAGACAAAAATGTTTTCCAAGCGTACTAGAACACAGGCATTTGGGGCAGAGGGGAAAAACCCAAGTCTTTAACCTGAAAAGTCAGAAGGGAGAAAGTACACATTCCTCCTACTGGGAATACTACCCTTGAGTAATGCCTAACCTGGGAAAAGAAAAACACAAAACAAAGCCACAAACCAAAACACCAACAAAAAAACAGACTTGGCAGGCTATGAACCATCATAACTGCTATCATCCCAAAGGTTTTCAGAAAAGGAACATTTTCCGCTGTGAACAACTGTTGAAGGGTGATGAAACAGGTTACTTCTCTTCATCTCTCACCCTAAATACAATATTGCGCTTGTATAGTCATCTGGTAATGGCATCCAGCACTAAAATATCTGACATTAACTATAAAACAGCAATTAACAGCTGACACCTCAGCCAAAACGTATTCCTTACCTCAGGGGTCTCAAATTTCATTTTGTCCATACAAGTTTTAAAAGTTGTAAGTCTTAAAAACCCCACAAACAACCCAAACCCCAAAGGGGAGAAATGAGTAACTAAACACATCACTGGAACTCTCAACACAGTCAAACACCAGGGAATTTTATAACACTGAACTCTACTCCAATAACCATCTCAGACACCGTTTCCTCTTTCATCTAGTAGTAGGAAAACAGTATTAAAAAAACCCTAACAATTACGTGCCAACAACGTGTCACTTGTCTAATCATTTGTTTCCACAGGTTTTTTAACTCGGTTTTTCTCTCCACACCCCCCACCCCACCCCCCCCCAGTATGAATATGTATATTCATCGCTATTTTTATAGGTTTATTTTTATAGGTGGTTTAGGGTGTTTGACAACTGCTGTTCACCAGAACTGGTAAGTTTACGTTTAGGTTGAGCACATCCACCGTGAGGCAGCCAAACACTACAAGGGCCTGGTGATCGATCTCCCTTTACTCCCTAAGGAACCCCCTTC